CACACACACACACACACACACACACACACACACACACACACACACACTCTTCAGCTCAGACTTATTACCGCTCGTTTTCTGATTCTTTAATCCCCACGCTGAAAGTGTGTGCGATGGCGAGTTTTCACCGGAGACAGCTCGGTTATTCTGACATGTCTGAGTCTACATGTGTGTTCAAGTGGTGGGTTTTAGGTGGGGGGGGGGGGGCACAGTTGGGGCAGGTGCAGAGACAGCTGGTGTGGGCAGCTCCAGCCGAGGGGGAGGACCAGAGCAACAGCGGCATTCCTGGAAAACATGAGCCGAAGGCGACAAACGAGGGTTTGCACGCCGACCAAACTCACCATTCAAGCAGTTTTCTACTTCCTTTGTTTTCAACAGAACGGCTAAAGGCAGCAGATCATGTGTGTGTGTGTGATTGCCTCTCTGTTAGCAAAATATTCCTCGAACAAGCTGATCGATTTTAATAAAAGTTTCTGATATTGGCCCTACATGTACAACTGAGTACCTGTTGGGAGTTAAACCAGGTCAAGATGGACGCCACAGCCAACACAAAAGTAGCTCTAACTCAGTCAGTCTGACAAATAAGAAGCTAAATTTCAGTGTGGTAGTAGCTGAGCACTCTCCGCTGGGAGTTCAATAAAGTTTTGGACCTATCAATCAAACTGATTTACTCATTAAGATATTTATACAAACTATGCAAATGGTTGCTACGCAAAGTGCACAGCAGAGCAATTCAACTGGTGGCCCAGGTAGTAGGGGAAGTCACGTCTGTATTGCCTGCCTGCTAGCGTTGCGCTATGTTGCTGCCAGTTTTTATTGACGACGGGGTGGAGTCACGTTTGTATTGCCCGCCTGCTAGCTTAGCACTACTTTGCTGCCAGTTTTTATCTATGACGAGAGCAAGGAACCGGAGTCACATCTGTATTGCCCACCTGCTAGCTTAATGCTATGTTGCTGCCAGTTTTTATAGGGGGGGGGGGGTGGCAACTTGACTTAGGTCTCTTGTGCTCGCGGTAAATGTTAACGGGGAGCGGGGCCGTGCTAAGCTAAAATTCCCCGC